GTTTCCTGGTGACTGGCTATCTTCTCTCCCTTTATGCTCACGCGCACTGCACGCACGTGTGACACCCGTGACGTGACGTGACGTGAATTCGAGAATAAAGGTAGAGGTTTTTTTGCAACCATTATGCACAACGGAATTTTCAGTTATCGCGGAGCATGGCGACGTCAAAGTTTCTGTGCAACGTGATCAATTTCTTGTGCGATCTGCGTGGTCGCTCCGGATGTCCTCCGCGTGACGCGAGAGTTCCATGCCTCCTTTGTGAACGTCCCGATGTTGCTTCTTGTTTTCTTCTTGGTCTTGGCCTTTAGTGACCTTCGACTCCAACGCCGGATCGCGTCGTTGTTCGAGTAAGCTCGAAGAATCCGGGCAAACGCTGGATGTTTGAGACCAGGCGTCAAGAAGCGACGTTTACGCATGCTCCCCTTGGGGGCAATTGGTTTTTTCAATGTCATTGGCGCGAAATACCCAACAGAAACAAGGTGCATTCTCTAAAGTCATTTTTTTAATTAATAATTTTAAGTAATTATTATTATTATTTATTCCTTTTTTTTAGGGGGGGGGGGGGGTATAGGGAGACGTCGGACGTCCGCCAAACTTTCCCGGTGGGGAAATTCTTGCAACCTTTCTGACTCATTCGTCGTTCATGATTCGAATTATTATGAAATTTCTGTTTTTCGTCCAGTATAAGCTCATTTAGAGACTCGAGTCGTTTTGCACACTTATGATGAAATCTGCAGTAGTGCAACCCAGCACTCCGCGTTCACGAGGATTCTAGATTGAACATGACGAAAACAGTCGCGAAGATTTTCTTCATTTAAAAATAAATTTACAAGTTCAGTGATGATTTTATTTACTATAATTTTGGTGCCATTTCACACTGATGGAAATACCGAACGGAAGAAATTCGGGCAAGAAATCGACCGGATCTACTCATCGACCTGCTTCTGATGGAGTACCAATCAGTGCTTGATCTCGACGAGATCGATCGCAGAGCGCCAAGGTCATTGGAAGGAAGCTCATCGCTAGTGTTCATTCGGAGACCCTGAGATTTTCTGCTCGACATCGGACGCTCCGTTCCGAAAAAAAAATTCATAAGCTACGATGAGGCAGTAGATGGAATTTGAGCATCGATGCACTTCGGGTGAAATTTTGTGCTCTCTCTTCGTTTTTGTCTGTCTGTCCCATAGTAGCGGGGTCCAAGGGTCTTCCTCAACAACGGTCGGGATGACCCAGGTTAGAAGCTTGGTGCAAAAGAAGGGGTTCATCGGAACAACTTTGAAGGAGTGTGAAATCCTCCAGGTGAATGCGCTCAGCATGCAATGAGGCTTCACGAGGGAAGATGCCAATGTTGTCGGGATACTCCGTTCGCCTCTTCGGGGTTGTCCGCCGCGAACTGCGACGAATGAATAAAGGAAGCATAGGCATAAGTTTTTTCAGACCGAAACGTCTCATTCCAATGGAAACATCTCAACGTGATCGGATCGGCCTCCGCCTGGGAGAAAGGGTTGCGCCCGTGAGGTGGCTTAGCCCGGCGTTCATAGGAGGCGGTCTGGTCGACACGCGTTGAAGGCTGCGCATTTTGGATGAGTCCTTTTTTTCGGCTGGAAGGTTCGTTTCGAGATCGTTTATCGTGATTTCACCTTTGTTACATAGCCTGCTTAGGAATGCGCAGAGGCATATGGTCTCCCTTTGTGGATAGGGTGAGGAATATTCCAATCGATTTCCAACCGAGATGACAGCCCTGCAGAGTCCCGCGGAGTTGCTGAGACCGACTAGGAGCATCAATTTCTATTAAGTTTTTCTGGAGTTTTGCTGGCTAAGTGTACCACCTGAAATGAATGGACACGGGACGCAAACCCAAATCTGAGATCGAAAAAAATCTTCAGTTTCAATAAAAGAATAGGAAGAGAGAGGGGAATGGGGGGAGTGATTGTTAATTGGAATCTTCGGGAGCATCACGAAACACGAGGGATAGCGTTGAAGCTAGGTCACTTCACTCCGCTCATTGAGGCAGGCCGCTGCTCTTGTTCGTCGCATGGGTTCAAGGAACAGGTCAGGAATGGGCAACCATTCTGTCCTTGAGAGTTCCGCAGTTATCGAGGGCAACTTAAGGTAAGTTCATAAGCAGGAGATGATCGATGGGAGTTTCAAGCGAATAACTTCTAACTAGCCGTGAATCGTAATTGAAAATATAGACGCCAATGCTTGAATTCTNGAGCATGGCGACGTCAAAGTTTCTGTGCAACGTGATCAATTTCTTGTGCGATCTGCGTGGTCGCTCCGGATGTCCTCCGCGTGACGCGAGAGTTCCATGCCTCCTTTGTGAACGTCCCGATGTTGCTTCTTGTTTTCTTCTTGGTCTTGGCCTTTAGTGACCTTCGACTCCAACGCCGGATCGCGTCGTTGTTCGAGTAAGCTCGAAGAATCCGGGCAAACGCTGGATGTTTGAGACCAGGCGTCAAGAAGCGACGTTTACGCATGCTCCCCTTGGGGGCAATTGGTTTTTTCAATGTCATTGGCGCGAAATACCCAACAGAAACAAGGTGCATTCTCTAAAGTCATTTTTTTAATTAATAATTTTAAGTAATTATTATTATTATTTATTCCTTTTTTTTAGGGGGGGGGGGGGATATAGGGAGACGTCGGACGTCCGCCAAACTTTCCCGGTGGGGAAATTCTTGCAACCTTTCTGACTCATTCGTCGTTCATGATTCGAATTATTATGAAATTTCTGTTTTTCGTCCAGTATAAGCTCATTTAGAGACTCGAGTCGTTTTGCACACTTATGATGAAATCTGCAGTAGTGCAACCCAGCACTCCGCGTTCACGAGGATTCTAGATTGAACATGACGAAAACAGTCGCGAAGATTTTCTTCATTTAAAAATAAATTTACAAGTTCAGTGATGATTTTATTTACTATAATTTTGGTGCCATTTCACACTGATGGAAATACCGAACGGAAGAAATTCGGGCAAGAAATCGACCGGATCTACTCATCGACCTGCTTCTGATGGAGTACCAATCAGTGCTTGATCTCGACGAGATCGATCGCAGAGCGCCAAGGTCATTGGAAGGAAGCTCATCGCTAGTGTTCATTCGGAGACCCTGAGATTTTCTGCTCGACATCGGACGCTCCGTTCCGAAAAAAAAATTCATAAGCTACGATGAGGCAGTAGATGGAATTTGAGCATCGATGCACTTCGGGTGAAATTTTGTGCTCTCTCTTCGTTTTCGTCCGTCCCATAGTAGCGGGGTTCAAGGGTCTTCCTCAACAACGGTCGGGATGACCCAGGTTGGTGCAAAAGGAGGGGTTCATCGGAACATCTTTGAAGGAGTTTGAAATCCTCCAGGTGAATGCGCTCAGCATGCAATGAGGCTTCACGAGGGAAGATGCCAATGTTGTCGGAATACTCCGTTCGCCTCTTCGGGGTTGTCCGCCCCGAACTGCGACGAATGAATAAAGGAAGCATAGGCATAAGTTTTTTCAGACCGAAACGTCTCATTCCAATGGAAATATCTCAACGTGACCAGATCGGCCTCCGCCTGGGAGAAAGGGTTGCGCCCGCGAGGTGGCTTAGCCCGGCGTCCATAGGAGGCGGTCTGGTCGACTCACGTTGAAGGCTGCGCATTTTGGATGAGTCCTTTTTTCGGCTGGGAAGGTTCGTTTCGAGATCGGTTATCGTGATTTCACCTTCGTTACATAGTCTACCTAGGAATGCGCAGAGGCATATGGTCTCCCTTTGTGGATAGGGTGAGGAATATTCCAACCGATTTCCAACCGAGATGACAGTCCTGCAGAGTCCCGCGGAGTTGCTGAGACCGTCTAGGAGCATCAATTTAGGGTTCTGAGCAATCAATTTCTATTAAGTTTTTTTGGAGTTTTGCTGGCTAAGTGTACCACCTGAAATGAATGGACACGGGACGCAAACCCAAATCTGAGATCGAAACAATCTTCAGTTTCAATAAAAGAATAGGAAGAGAGAGGGGAATGGGGGGGCGGGAGTGATTGTTAATTGGAATCTTCGGGAGCATCACCAAACACGAGGGATAGCGTTGAAGCTAGGTCACTTCACTCCGCTCACTGGAGGCAGGCCGCTGCTCTTGTTCGTCGCATGGGTTCAAGGAACCGGTCAGGAATGGGCAACCATTCTGTCCTTGAGAGTTCCGCAGTTATCGAGGGCAACTTAAGGTAAGTTCATAAGCAGGAGATGATCGATGGGAGTTTCAAGCGAATAACTTCTAACTAGCCGTGAATCGGAATTGAAAATATAGACGCCAATGCTTGAATTCTCGATATCGTGTCGATTTATGACCTTCGTTGAAGACAAGTCTCCATTTTCAAACCCGACTTGAGAATAAGAAAGGCATGTCAAGGCATCCCATCTCCTCTTCGTATCCCATCAAGCCAACACATTGCTGGCCATAAATAATAAATATTCATCTATGACGAGAAAACGTCCATCATATCTTGAGAATAGAGCGGTATCACGCGGGTCACAGGAAATTCATGAACTGATAACGCTGGAACATTACTGAAATACGATTATGAGAAAAGTTATGTTATTGTATAAGCGGCCAAGAAGCAGAAAGATAACACTCTTTTCCAGGAGGCTTTTTATTTCACACACTCTCCAATGAATCCCAGACCACCATCACACACGCAAGGGGGCACAACGTTTCCGGAAAGCCAATGGGGAATTGAAAGGGCATTCTGTAAGAGTACATTGGTAAGCTTAATGGAAAATCTATACATCGGAGATAGAGAACTACCCAAAATGCAAAAAAAAAATACTGAATAAAATACCAGAACTTTCACGGGCGTAAAGGAGAAAAGGGTGACAGCTAGAGTGAAGTAGAGCAACAAAAATTCCCAAAGGATACTCGAAGAGCAAGAAATCCAGCATGCAGCTATAAACCATGAAGGATTCAAGATTATATTTTTTTAATCATGGAATGAGAGAAAAAAAAAGGAGTCATACAGATGTAATGATGGTGAATCTCATTTCATGAGGGTTTGAATGACGGCCTTGGCGTCCAGACTCCTCAGATCTCGATAAGTCTGCCCCGTTCCGACAAACATGATGGGTTGCCCCGTGATGTAGGACATGGATATAGCAGCCCCGACCTTGTCGTCGATGGTGTCGAATTTGGTCAGGACGATCCCGTCGATGAGATGAGGATTAGTGCTTGCCGAATTGTCGGCGAGTGCCTGATTGAATTTCATCAGTTGATCCACGGCTTCATTCCCCACCAAGGCTTCCCCAACGAAAAGGACAAGATCCGGTTCGTTGACCTTGATTAACTTGGCCAAGGCGCGCATGAGCGGCTCATTATCTTGCATCCGCCCGGCAGTGTCAACCAGAACGACATCGATTTTCATGTCGCGGGCAAAATTGACAGCTTCCATAGCTATGCCGGCAGCATCCTTGCCGTAGCCCTTCTCGTACAGCTGAACCATCGTGAGGTTGTCGTGTTTCTCTGGCGGGTGGAGTGCATTCAGATGACGGGTGTGGGTGCGAAGTTGCTCCACTGCTCCTGCTCGGAAAGTGTCGCATGCGGCTATCAGAACACGGAAGTTGTTCTCGATCAGCCAGAAGCAAATCTTGGCCAGGTTGGTGCTTTTGCCAACGCCATTAACCCCGCAGAATGCAACAACATACGGGCGATGATTTCGCTTGGCTTCGATGATGTCACGCAAGATGTCAATGCGTCGCTTGGGGGAAAGAAGCTGGACCAGTGCCTCGTGCATGGTCTCTTTCACGGCAGACGAAATCCCCTGGAACGTGCCGAGGACCTTCCCCTCCAGCTTGGATCCAACGGACTCGCACAACTTTTCGGCGATCTCAGATGCCACATTCTTGGTAATCAAGTGCTCCGTCATCTTCTCCAGGACAGGTACCATGGCTTCCTTGGTGATGGTTTTGTGGCCAACCAGGCCACGGAACAGAGAGAACATTCCGCGGGATTTCGGTTTTTGCTCCACCTCCACTTCTTCCTCCTCGAATTCCTCTTCATCTTCTGAGGTGCTTTCCTCAATATCTATACCCTGCAGCTCGCCTCTCATTGTTCCAACCATATGGGGATCTCTGGGGACGGTGATGGCATTTTCATCCATGTTTCCGGAATCGCCCTTTGAATAATCAAGGGCTGCAGCATTCTTGACCTTTCCACCGTATGCCACATCCCAAACTCGGCCTGTCTTGCTCTTCTTCCCGGGAGAAGCCTTGGCCTTCTTCTCCGGCGGTTTCTTCTCTTTCCCCTGCATCTTTTTCTTCAGCATCTCCCGATTCACAATCAGGGCGTCCTCCTCCGGCAACTCCTGGTCGGCGACCGTCGGGACATTGTTGTTTTCGGATTTCTTCGGTTCCTCCTTCTTCGGTTCTTGAGCAGGAGTCTTCTTACTTCTGTCTTCGACAAGGGGCATCAAACGCTTGGCTTTCTGGGATTCAGTGTAAGAGCGCATCTGCTTGGGAGCTTTGCTCTCCAAGCGGTCAGTTTCCTCTACATCCTTGAGGACATTGTCAAACTCGCGCTGAAAGGAGAAAGCCTGAAGATACTCCTGTCGTCGCAGGATTTCGTCATACTTGTCACGGAACCTCAGCTGGATATCGTCCAGGAATTTATCGACATAAGATAGCTGAAGGATCCTCTGGTATGCAATTATGAACACCAGTTCGAACTCATTATCAAGTTTATATTTCAGAGAGAGCGTGGGGTGGTTCATCTGTCCTCCACCCTTGCGTTCCTGCAATATCACGCTCTGGACGAACTGGCTGATGACAGGACATACCTCCTGCACTTCACCGATGCGGTTGAAGCACCACAGCACGATGCCGCCGCGAGTGAAGATGGCAAACCAGTCAATCATCTTGTCGTTGCACTGAGAGTAGATCAATTACGAAATGTGTCAGTCAGAATCTTCACTTCTCACTGCGTTCACTGTTGAGGTTGAACTTTGCTTTCATAGCATCCAATTCTTCTTTCTTCTTATCTGAATCAATGCGCTTGAATGCCTTGTTGGCCTGTGGATATATGAAAAGAAAATGGAATCAGGTACGACTTCTTATGGAAATTTTCACCAGAGCAAACATTTTCTAGGCAATTATTGGGCTCATCCTGATGTTAAGATGGACATTCTTATTTGCCGTTCATTATTTTCAGAGGATTGTGGGAGATTGATAACAACCACCAAGCAGTTTAAATGACTGCCTGAATCTGATACAAGTTTGCACCAAAGACAGACAAAAGTAATGAAGGAAAACCTCACCTGGTAGTAAAGGACAACAAGATATCTTCCACACACGTTGAATCCACTCAAATGATCACAAGCGTTCTTGGCATCAAAAATGTCCTCATACACAACAAATGCAGTACCTCGGGTTTCTGGAGTGTTGCCTCTGCAGATGGAATGAAAAAATAGGAAGGTAAACATTTTTTTTACATGAAGAGAGAAAGATAAAAGATAATAAAATACTCACACTCGGATTTGTCTAATGGCGCCATATTTCCCAAAGATATCATACATTTCCTCACCAGTGATCTTGTATGGTAGATTCCGGACATAGAGAACTCTGTTGACTTCTGGTGGTAACCTTACCTGTAAAACAACAGACAGAGAATAGGCCCACATGTATTCCCTTCACCAGTGACAATTTTAGACAAACCACAATGTATGAAATCAACAGAAATCTAAATACAGTTTTCAGCATTTCCCATTATGGAACATGCATCAAATTTTGTAATTGGTAAGTTTTACTGGCATCCCAACCAATGTTCATGAGAACAGCATTCCAAGAAGGGAAAAATGAGACCTCCTCTAAACCCCTTGAGGAATGTGATGCATTTTAATTTTGGAATCCTTGATCAAAGTACCATGCGATGACAATGGCACTGTTTGTTTAACGTCACACGTTTTCTTTTTAATGGGATGCAGGGTGCTCATACTTAAACACATTATAGGGAACATTTAGCCTGCCTGCTTCTGGATAATTGCAAATGCAACAAAACTCATTAGTTTGCACAGCTTTTAGTATATTCACAAGCACAAAAAAACAACCAGACACAATACAAAGTTTCAACCAACAAAGTTGAAAGAATAAAAACAAAGACAACCAAAACATTCCACCATCACACATCCTCTAACAGGGAACATTCACCTATGGCGTAATTTGTTCCTGGACATGAGGCATGATTATGCATATATTTAAAGCTATGCTACCTAGTGAGTTCTGAGGCATTTGCTGCAATCCAGAAGTAAGAGGGCGAATATTCATCATGCTGTGTTCAAATATGCACCTAGAATAATATAAACTACTTAAAAAAATTAGCAATCCTGCCGAGACTTTCCAGTACAATATTAAAAATGCAGAATTAGGTTCATTGGTTGAAGACAGTGCCCACATGGGGCTAAAGAGCAGTCAAGGGGCTTTTTAAGACACAAAATTCACAAGCTCTGCATCTCAACACATGCAGACAAGGAAGACGTCATGCGTGACACGATAGGGGTTGCAGACATAGTGGATGGTGAGAACTTCCTTACATTATTCCGTCTTTGCATAGCCATCTTGACATGAACTCACAGTCACAATTCTCCACTTCCAATTTTGAATTGTCTTAGGGCAAAATATATATATATAACATTAAGAACTGAAACAATGAAGACAAATAGCCCTTGACAGTGGAAATAAATCTGTCAAATATTCATCACATACCTGCAAAACAAGCAGAGTATAAAAATGATAGGCCAAGTCTTACAGCTATATCAGATTTTTATGACAACCACAATTGCTATGCTTCATATTGTCCAGCAACCAGATCATATAAAGTAAATTTCTTGCAACTTAGTAGGTCTGATTGTTTTCTTTTGCTCATGATTGCAACTATACAAGCCTATGACACCTGTGCTGATGTGTTTATTTTGGGCAACAACAATGGAACTACATAAAAAATCAGATGAAACTACCGTTAGCATAAAGCATCATGTCAGCAGTATGATTGACTTTCTCAATGGATAGCAGGAATATGCAACTAACATGGTCTTACATAAAATCATCCATCCCACATACTGACTAGCTATTGTAATGCTAAAGGGATATACATCAAAACAGAGCAACACAAAACTTTTGGAGCAAATATAATGAATTTACAGGGCACTCCTCTCTGACTAGAGCACTCTTTGTCCTAAGGGTGCAATAAAAAAAAATAATTGTGAGATGTGAGAAGAGTTAAATTTGATCCATTTTACATCTTGACTGACTGGTAGGGCAAAGCTATTTATCCAAAATGGGTCTGCTGAACAAAAAAGCCCTAGGTTTGGGTTAATATAAATGGTGTCCCAGAGCAAACTCCATAACAGTTTCAACATCATAATTTTCATGGTTTCTTGCAAAAAAATTGAAAACAGCTTGAAAAGAAAGCATCAGGTTCAGTTTGACAACTGTTATTGACCATTCCTGATGTAGGGTTACAAGAAAGAGTAACAGTAACAAGTAACAGTTAATATAACCAATATTGTTCATACTTAGGTGAGCTGTTGTAAGGGGGTCACTCTGGGACACCCTGTATGAAAAAGAACCCAATCATAGAGCTTCAAAGTAGGCTAGCAAATGGGAGCATGGGTTTCTTGTGATATATTTAGCAGCAACTATTGATATACTCAAGTTTCATTTCAATAAAAAAAAACTCCATCTAAGACCCAGAGAGAGCAAAAATTAACCCATTTACTCCTGCATGAAAGTTACCATATTAAATGCTGTGTGCTATGAGAAATTTTAAAAGTCCATAGAATGACAATTTTTACTTAGTTTGCAAACAATTTACAATGCATATGCAATTCCATGAGAAATTTATGCAATTGTGATGAATCAGCAAATAAAGCTAGCACACAGCAAGAGTTGTGGCATGTGTGAGCAGTGAATGGGTAGCTCTTCAGCATCTATGGTAGACCTCGGTTAGGTTCTGCCAATCAAATTTAAGGTTACCAGAGAGATCATTAAAATAATTAAATCCATTGCACTTCTGACCTGTTGGTATATTCAAGAGGAAATTCTTACGTTTCTGTTAGCAGAGGCTTCAGGCCCCAAAGATGATCTGTTGTGGTATGGCTATGCACAATCTCTATAAAAACAATGCATACCACTCTACTTGGCCATTGACTACAAAATGCACCCCAACATCCACACTGAGCTCTAGGCACTTCATAAGGTGGTCACACAGAATCAATGCTGGTACGTATATTTTACACTCCTATACCAAGCACGCTGCCAAGTTCTGGATTTACTCAATATCACGGAGCAGCATATTATTAATTTTTGGTACGAGGCATTGGTGAGGCTTTTAAGATTATGTCTTGTGCCTATAGGTCTTCCACATATGCACTGTGCACAGACCAGACCTGTACTGTACTGCTCTGTACATAGATGTCCTCCTTTGTGGAGTCATGTACTAACTGGTACTTAATTACCTCCAGCAGGAACGGTACAAATGGCAGGATCAGGGTCTTATCCTTGATTAGGAGTACAAAAAAGGGACCAAATATCTTGGATTGCTGATGCACATTTGGCAGAGTAGGAACCAGGATTCAATTTATGAACCTATCTAGGGCTATCAGTGTAGCCCTTCTGTACGAAGGCAAATAAAAAGGGCAAAAGCCAAATGACAATGTTAAGGATGAAGGTAACCCAAATTCACAAAAATATGTATGCAGCATTGTGTAATAGCTAAAGAGGAAATACTCATGATGTTCTGACTCCCATTCCCATTGTTCTGCTTACTTTTACTGTCTCCAGGAGTTGAAATCAGATGTGAGGCTCCACTGAGCAATGATGCAATGGGGGAACTTTAGGATGCATGGTGTGCAAAAGAAGGTCCATAATGCAAGACCAGCAATGCCCATTACTGGAGGAATAAATTGTGCATGGAAGATGGTGGGTTATGATTTGGTTTGAGTGGCTGAGGTATGCAGGTTAATTGCAATGGCCCCCTTTTCTTATTTCCCCGTAAAAACTTGAAGAAATATCACAAGCCATATGCAATGCATGAAGAGATGGAGTACTATGAACATAAAGCCCAAAGAAACTTCTGATTGACTTGGCCTATCAAACCACAATGGATAAAGTTATATCAAGTACTATGGCTGACTCATTGCAATCAACTTAGAGCATTATGGGTTGAAGACAGAGCCAACTGCACATGTATTAAGATAATGAAAATACAGTATTTCAGCAAAAGAAAGGGACAGTTCCAACACTGGAGGCATAGCAATTAGAAACATTGGACAAGTTTATAAATTTAACACTAGAATTACTTCTATCTGCCGACCTTCCTCTCGATGGTTTTGCTTCTCGACTGTGGTTGCATCAACTTTTTTCAACTCGATGGAATCTCGTACATATGGTGGTTGCACGGAATGAAAAATGCACCATTCTCGGTTGCTGTCACACGCTTTTTCTTTCTCATGCACAATATTAAAAAATTTGATGGAAACTTTGGAAAATAAAAAAAATTGCAGGTCAGACAAAGAAACATCTAAGTGAAAACGGATGCAACTCTCTTTATTATTATTATTTTTTTTAGCCATGCTGGGCTTATTTACAACTGGATTATTTTGCTTCTCCTACAGGGAGAGGAGCTACAGATCCAGCTACATCAGCAAGGGGAACATATCGTACGAATCGGATGACGAGGAGTCCCAGACGACCTTCCGCAGGAACCTGTACCACTCGATCGAGAAGATCAACAATCCCTTCCAGGGGAAACTCCCCACGACCGAGCTCTGACGCCTTCGATCGCGTCGCACGATGCGCGAAACGTCGCGGCACCCGCGAGCGATGCGTTCGGTGTGACACTTTTGCAACGATGCCATGAATTGACAGATCTTTATACATCATATTTCAAATTGGCAGCTTGACAAGGATTTTGCAACTCATGTTTGAATTTTCTTTCTGCATGTGCAATATGATGTTTGTGTCTTGTTTTGTGAAACTTCAAAACTAATGTATTTATGCAACTTTTGATACCAGAGTAAAGCTAATAATTTTTGAAAAGGGCTCACTCTCATCCTTTCCAAACTTAGAAAATCCCTTAGGAAGCCCTAGAAGATAGGAGAATCAGCATCCTTTTCCAGCACCGATCAGCATCTGCCGTGTAAAAGTTCTTAAAAAATTATGGATGCATAATTGTGCAGCTTCTGCAACTATGGAGGTGAGATACCCTTTGATTACCATTTTCAACCCCTCTATCACCAATCTGAATCACACTGGAGGCTCTGTGGAAGGAACTTCATCGATCATTGGAGGTGTCTAGCTATCCAGGCTACCAGTATCCAACAGTGACCAGACACTGTAATATCAGTGCATCACTTGAACATTTAAAAGAAGGGAGCATAGCTCCAGGAATATCCCACACTGGTTCATAGCAGATTACTGCATCACAGAGTATCACATCAAGTGGATGACTGGGGGTGACAGTGGCGTTGGTGGATGCTGGCCAGGAGGGCCGACTTCCACTCCTCCTCGGGGACGGCAAAGGCCCACTGTGGGAACGAGGACTCGGGCAGCCTCACGAACTGCATCGCGTCTCGGATGGCAGCTTCTTGTACGTTGTCCAGGGGGAGGGACCTTTCTGTTGCCTGGAAATTTCAACAGGAATGATATGTTTAAATAGTTAAAAGTGTACTGATGTACATCAACAATCACTATATTGGAGATGGATATGGAGCTGAAAATGGATGTAAAAAATACCCAACTTTGTCTTTTTACAGAGGATAATTGCATCACACCAAAATTAGCATAGACCACCAGAAAATATGAAAAAGTTACAGTACAGCCCTGGGTATGAATTAAGTGTGTAGCACATGACTCACAGTAGGTGGAGAGACTGGTGAGACTCCGTTCATGCTGATTTCATCCACTCTACTTGACTCTGCATCTATCTCTTCCTAAAATGATCATTGCACAAATTGTTTTTTTTTCTGGTCCTCATAGGATTTTTGCAATAATTGCAAAATAATTCAGGAATATTTACATTAACACAGCTGACTGCATTAACTAGAGCTGTAATATTTTGCGTCACTAGAACATCACATGAATCTTGCATTAATTATTATGAAGAGAATGAATTGAGAAAAAAAGGAAAAGAACTCTACATAAACAACCATTACTAATTGGTGGTTATAACTGATTAACAAAACACGGTTTCACATCTCAAGCCCTTCCCACATGAGCAAGTGTTGGAAAAGCATATTATTGCTATTCTGCAACAAATCAAAATCTCATATTAATGACCTACAAAAAATAACGTTTCCTGCTCAACCTGGCAGAAAGTTTTCCAATATGTGTTGCTTGAAACAATTATGACAGTATGAAATTCACCATATGGAACTTTCACTGTCCGACTTAAGCATTTCTAAGTCTTGGAATTTCACCAATGAATACACATTAAAGGGAGTCAGAAGCAGGAGTCTACTAGAATATGCTCTAAATTTTTATTGTCTCCCTTCCCCCCCCCCCCAAAAAAAGAAATCAGGAATCTTGCTTACTAGGCAGGCCTTTGAAAGGTGGAAAGCCACTGCCACATTTTTTCACTTAATGTTACAGACTAGATCATGTTCCTACCATTCCTGCAGGATATGCAAAACAAAAAACAAAACAAAACAAAGAAGCCATTAAAGATTGAGTTTGAAAATTGGATCAACGCAGCTCAATGATTTCTCTCATTGCTCAAAATTCACAACAACCATAGTAAATTCTACATCATTAGATTGTTGCCTTCATCTTATTTCTTCCCATACATAAATATATATATGACAACTGAAAGGAGTTTTTACACACAGATGAAACAATGATGGACACGCTGATACAGTTGGTTTCTTCCCAACAGCTTGCTTTTTTTCAATAAATAGTAAAGGCATATTACCACTATTCATGGTATGTGTTAACATTTCCCTGCATTCTCTTCAGCATTATTAATTTTTATTGACCCATTAATTATTATATAGATATGATAGATTATTTCTATTCCTCTAGCAGCCCTGCTTGATTGAGACCGCAAAACAATAAAAACCAGTTTCCAATCAATCTGCAGGGAATCAATGACTATCAAATCCTATGCAGTTGTCAATTCACTCACTAGTAGTCCCAAAGCTTCCTGCATCATTAGTAACTTGGACTTTCAAATAAATCACCAGAGTGGTAATCAACGCTTATGCTTGGCAACTGCTTGAGGTCTGAAGGAGTTCCACGTCATTTCAGCCATTGTTTGAAGGCCTGAATCTGAATGTATTGATCAAATACACTGTGATCATCATAATCAAGCAGTCTACTCAGTACTGGTACCTGTCACAAAGACACCATATGGTATCCAGGGTCATGCCAGCCTCTGATAATACCAGGTTATTCATAATCATTTCTCAAATCAAGCGGATTTACCAAGTTCAAACACATTATCATGTTTTGAAGCAGACTTCCATTGTCTTTGAGTGAGACCCTGTGAAACCCATGCACAGAATTTTTCAGCTATCAGGAAAGATCTTGCTCCACTAAATCATAACCAGATATGATTCGCCTGAGAGAGCAATATTGAACAATTGGAGGGTGTGAGATTCAGCAAAGTCTCAGGCTCCCAATGCGCAGATTTAGGCCCTCGGAATGATGTTCTTTGAGTGAGTGAGAAATGCATGAGTGAAGGCCGAATTGTCAGCGTGAGAGATCACGAAACAAGGCAACAACCTGGAAATAAAACTTCCAAAAAAAGCAAGACTCACATCGGAGTGAAAAGAACGAATAGCCCTCTCATTTTCCGTCACACAGTTCACGCTCTGCGGCAAGGGAACGTAATACGATTCTCCCTCGGGGTCGTTGTCGCTGCTGTCGTCCGCGTCGCCGTCGTCGTCGTCGCTCTCCATCCAGGGCACCACCCCTGGCTGTTGAGCGAGCTCGTTCTCTGTAGACTCCTGATCTCTGTGACTCTCGGGTGGCTCGGGAGACATCGCGAGTCACCTGAAATAGAACGGAGATTTAGAATTGGAGATAGAGGCCAGAGTGAGAACAGCATTCCATACAGAATCTTAGAGCCACATCACTAATGTCATTCAAAGAATGCTGCTTGTGCTTAGTTTGACTCAGCCTTAATATCCAATTGAATCAATAGTTCAAATCATGAAACGGGCAAATACAAATTAGGTTCCTCGTTCCTAAACAATTCTAAAATACACTTATACTCACCAAGAACAGTTTGAATAACAAAGTTTGAATTTTTTAATGCATGAGAAAACGCATAATGTTGGAGTAGATGATGGGTAAGGATGTAGTGACATATTAAACATTTCTCGGTCCGAGCTTAGGCCAATTGTGAGGCACACAGGGCAAATGAAACAATGGACTATTTGAGAATAGGCCCAGCATACCTCCACGTTATGCTAGATCTAAGTAACGTATCGATACCATGTTCACCATGGGCTCTATCGGCCTAATGCGACCTTCTTCGCGGGAGGAAATAGGCCTCACTGTCTCGCTTGCACGACAGAAAAAGGAGGCACCACGTTTAACGTCTCAAGAATTCATTTTCAAAACGTGGTTATAAAGAAACTCAACGTTGCCTTATCTACGAAGCAAACAACGGCGCTACCATGATACCGATGACGTCACGGATGGAGCATGCGCAGTGCGATCTAGCACCGGGCCGCCCCCTCTCGTCACTCCTGACTTGGCCTCGTCCACCAGCGTATCACTCGACGCACTGGCCGACTCCATTACGCTCAGTGGTCCCGCTCGCGTGCGTAGTACGTAGGCCTCGCCCTAGATTCGGAGCGTGATAGCTCAATGTGGTGACGTGGTCGTTTTTCGCTCGAATAGTACTGACTCCGATTCAATTATACGGGTAAGGTACATGAATATGGTAAGGTAAGGTAAGGCCTTGTATGTCTTGCCGCATCACATTCCTATCCGAAGAATACCGTGAGCTCAACGCTAAATACGGTGGATTGATTTACGAATGATATGCTCAATTTTACATTGTGCAATAGCCTTCGTATGGTTTGCAAAGGTCGTGAGGTTACATCTCGCATTATAGATATAGCATTGGGCGGACGACTACCATGTAAGCCTAGCCTAACAGGTTTCCTGTATCTTATTTTTCCACGTGAACCGCCAACGGGATTAGGAATCACTGGGAGGCTCATAGTTTGGCCTTGGGCCAACGCATTTTAGAAAGGTTGTAGATTGAGAGATTGAGTAGCCCTAGGCCTATACCCCATTTTATCTGTAATTTTATTTTAATTATTTATGGGAGCTTTCATATGAGCTTAATTTCTTCCAGTCTGTTTTATTGGAGTCGGGCAAATGGTAACCCTACTTTCATTGCACATAGCTGTGAGCTATATAGAATAAACCCAGTGTTGGTAGTATGCAAGTATTCATTGAGGTTCACAGTCTTCCTCACTTTAGTCAGGGCATTTTCACATGACTTGCATCCTTGCATGTGGCATCTTCCTGCTCAAGTGTGGATAAAGTAAAAAAAGCTCTAACATTAGATGGATCTACATTGCATGTAGTAGTAAGGAAACAGAAAGGCCTAAGGTGAAAAGTTGACTCCACCTGCACCTAGTCTGGCACAGGCCTTCATGGTGTATAGGCAGAAGGAATTATATTCATGGTCATGCTCATGAACTAAAATGGAATATGGTGTGGTGTGGCTATTTCAGTCCCTATTCTATTTGGTTGCAATCAATTTTGCTAAGTGCTAAGTGGCCATTTCAATTTTTTATATTTGACATTTGATAAGATTTGCCTATATATGTGCCTTTCATGTCGAGTTCTAAATAACAGCATTTTTTAAGAGTAATATTTGCTGGGAATAGATATACATACGTATAGGGACAGGTTCACATGGGCCTGCATTACATGGCAGAACAGCATATATTGCTTTCTATTAACACTGAAAGGAACAGAGCAGTCAATTTGACTGCTGCATTAAAAGTAGCATGAAACTATAATTCTGTAACATTTTATTTACTTTTTCCAGATGTTATTTGGTATGTTCAGCATGTTACCATGTTCAAATTGTCAATATTAGATAGGAAAAGTAAAAACTGCAGAGGCCCTTCGTTGCCAAACTAGCAAAGCAAAGTACATTAAAAATCTGCAAGCAGGCAAAATGATTTCCTTGGTAATTCTAGTGTTAAATTTATAAACTTGTCCAATGTTTCTAATTGCTATGCCTCCAGTGTTGGAACTGTCCCTTTCTTTTGCTGAAATACTGTATTTTCATTATCTTAATACATGTGCAGTTGGCTATGTCTTCAACCCATAATGCTCTAAGTTGATTGCAATGAGTCAGCCATAGTACTTGATATAATTTTATCTATTGTGGTTTGATAGGCCAAGTCAATCAGAAGTTTCTTTGGGCTTTATGTACATAGTACTCCATCTCTTCATGCATTGCATTTGGCTTGTGATATTTCTTCAAGTTTTACTGGGAAATAAGAAAAGGGGCCATTGCAATTAACCTGCACACCTCAGCCACTCAAACCAAATCATAACCGACCATTTTCTATGCACAATTTATTCCTCCACTAATGGGCATTGCCGGTCTTGCATTATGGACCTTCTTTTGCACACCATGCATCCTTAAAGTTCCCCCCTTGCATCATTGCTCAGTGGAGCCTCACATCTGATTTTAACTCCTGGAGACAGTAAAAGCAAGCAGAACAATGGGAATGGGAGTCAGAATATCATGAATATTTCCTCTTTATCTATTGCACAATGCTGCATACATGTTTTTGTGAATTTGGGTTACCTTCATCCTTACCATTGTCATTTGGCTTTTGCCCTTTTTATTTGCCTTTGTACAGAAGGGCTACACTGATAGCCCTAGATAGGTCCATAAATTGAATCCTGGTTCCTACTCTGCCAAATGTGCATCAGCAATCCAAGATATTTGGTCCCTTTTTTGTACTCCTAATCAAGGATAAGACCCTGATCCTGCCATTTGTACCATTCCTGCTGGAGGTAATTAAGTACCAGTTAGTACATGACGCCACAAAGGATGACAATGCCAGAATGAAAGGAGGACATCTATGTACAGAGCAGTACAGTACAGGTCTGGTCTGTGCACAGTGCATATGTAGAAGACCTATAGGCACAAGATATAATCTTAAAAGCCTCACCAATGTCTCGTACCAAAAATTAATAATATGCTACTCCGTGATATTGAGTAAATCCAGAACTTGGCAGCGTGCTTGGTATATAAGTGTAAAATATACGTACCAGCATTGATTCTGTGTGACCACCTTATGAAGTGCCCAGAGCTCAGTGTGGATGTTGGGGTGCATTTTGTAGTCAATGGCCAAGTGGAGTGGTATGCATTGTTTTTATAGAGATTGTGCATAGCCATACCACAACAGATCATCTTTGGGGCCTGAAGCCTCTGCTAACAGAAACTTAAGAATTTCCTCTTGAATATACCAACAGGTCAGAAGTGCAATGGATTTAATTATTTTAATGATCTCTCTGGTAACCTTAAATTTGATTGGCAGAACCTAACCAAGGTCTACCATAGACGCTGAAGAGCTACCCATTCCCTGCTCACACATGCCACAACTCTTGCTGTGTGCTAGCTTCATTTGCTGATTCATCACAATTGCATAAATTTCTCATGGAATTGCATATGCATTGTAACTTGTTTGCAAACTAAGTAAAAATTGTCATACTACGGACTGTTTTAAAATTTCTCATAGCACACAGCATTTAATATGGTAACTTTCATGCAGGAGTAAATGGGTTAATTTTTGCTCTCTCTGGGTCTTAGATGGAGTTTTTTTTTTATTGAAATGAAACTTGAGTATATCAATAGTTGCTGCTAAATATATCACAAGAAACCCATGCTCCCATTAGCTAGCCTACTTTGAAGCTATGATTGGGTTCTTTTTCATACAGGGTGTCCCAGAGTGACCCCCTTACAACAGCTCACCTAAGTATGGACAATATTGGATATATAATTTGTTACTTGTTACTCTTACTCTTTCTTGTAACCCTACATCAGGAATGGTCAATAACAGTTGTCAAAAGTGAACCTGATGCTTGCTTTTCAAGCTGTTTTCAATTTTTTTGCAAGAAACCATTAAAATTATGATGTTGAAACTGTTATGGAGTTTGCTCTGGGACACCATTTCTATTAACCCAAACCTAGGGCTTTTTTGTTCAGCAGACCCATTTTGGATAAATAGCTTTGCCCTACCAGTCAGTCAAGATGTAAAATGGATCAAATTTAACTCTTCTCACATCTCACAATTATTTTTT